AGATGGTACAACCAAGATTACAGATTGTAGATCCAACCGATCGATGGATAATTGTTACCTAATGCAGATTTATTTTTTGAAAAACGTCGTCCATGGGATTCGAACTCTAGACCTGCCGCTTAGTGGGGTGACGGCTAGACCACTTCACTAAGCCGCCACACCCATATTTTTATATATATAACAAGTTTATTTAAAATATAAGAATATAATTTATTAGTAGATCTTTAAAAATTTTAATATTTTTCATAATTTTATTAATAATACAGCATTATAAAAAATATTATTTTTTGCAAATTTCTATTAAGCAAATTGCTTTTTAACTTTTAATTAAAAGTGTAAAAAAAATATTTGCAATCAAAATAGTAGTTAAAAAGTTAAAATTAGTTTAATAACTTATAATATATAAGTATTTTAGTTTTTATAACTATTTAAGAGCTAATAGAAAAAAGCTAATACGGTATATATCCCACCTTCTCCTCCCCTCTTAACACCCCCCTACCCCTTTTTATATCTCTATACCCCTTCTTTACTTCCTTTTGTCTTTTTTACCTCCAAAAAGAGGTAAAAGAGACAAAGAGTGAGTATAAAAAAAATAAAAAAGAGGTAGAAGGATGTCAAGAGGGTGAGAGGTTGGGGAGTATATACTGTATTAGCTCTTTTCTGTTAGCTTTTTTTGTTTTTTTTTTATTTATATAAAGAAAAAAATATATAGTTACAAAAACTAAAATACTTATATTTTGTAATATATTAAGCTAATTTTAATATTTTAACTATTATTTTAATCATAAAATATTTTTTTACAACTTTTTTTAGAAGTTGAAAAAGGTTTATATAGTAAAAAAAAAGTTTTTTTTAAAAAAACTCTAAATTTGAAAATTCTAAAAATAATAAAAAAATATATGCTATATTTTGTTATTAAATTTGAACTAAATCTAAATATAATTTAAAAGTTTAATATAAATTTAAACTAAATATAAACTTGACTTAAAAGTTTAATATTGAATATAACTAAACTGAATTTGCATCTAAACTTAACCAAATATCAGTTTAGTTTAGGTTTATAAAAACACTAGTTGCAAGTACAAATAGCTAATATATATAAAATCTTTAGACAAACTACTTAAATTAAATATCAAAAGTATATATATAGCTAGTTATATTTTTATTATAATTGTAAAATATTATTTATTATTTAATAAAAAGTTTCTATACTGATATTATTTTAATATCAAAAAAAAAATTAAAAAAATTTTTAAATATAAAGTCTTCTTTTATATAATATATATTGTATATATGTTTATAATATTATCAAATATATAGTATATTAATTTATTATATATTAATAAAAACTAAAACAAATGCTATATCTCAAATATTAAAAAAATAAAATAAAAATTTAGATAGAATATTTAAATAGACAACTAAAAATTATACTGTATATACTGTATATAGTTATTTTTATATAATTACTTATATAAATTATTTAATAAAATATAAGCAAGGCCTTATTTTAAAAACAAAAAAAAAAGTAATTATACTAAATATAAAAAATTAATGAAAGCATATTACAAAAAAAAAAATTATATAAAATTAAAATAAAAAAAATTTATTTAATTTACTAAAATAATTGCTAAGATATTAAAGCTAAACTATTGTGTTTAGTTAAGTTGTTATTAAGATATTATCATTTATAGTTCAAAAAAACAATTTAAATGATTATCAAAAATTATAGCCAAATTTTTTCCAAACTTTGAGTAATAATATCTTGATAACTATTTATCTAAAGTTGATAAAAAAATTTTTTATTTTAACTTTATAAATTTATAAAATTAAAAATAAAAAAAAATTTATCTAGTATAGATAAGAAATTACTAAGATAAAGTTTTAAATATTATTTTATAATAGATAATATAGTGAATACATAAAAGTAAATCAATAAAAAAGAACAAATTTTTTTTAAATAAAAGTTTTTTTTTAATTTTAGCTTGGATTTCCTTTAGTATAGGTGGCCAATATAGAAATATTATAAGATTATAATATAAAAAACTCTAACCCTAACTTTAATCTAATTATAAATTATACTATAACCCTCACCCTAACCTTAACTATTCCCAAATTTGCTTAAATTAGTTCAAATAGTTATTTTTATATATTATAATTTTATAATATTTCTATATTGGCCACCTATACTAAAGATCAACCCAATTGTTAATAACAATCTAAGCTACAACCCAAATTGTTATAATTTTTATATATCAAAATTCCCTTATATATATTCAACTTTTAATATAATTCCCTATTTAATATAACTATCAACATGATTTAAAACCAATTCAAATAGGTTGATATTAACGAGGATCACCTTTATATATATTTACTAAATATCATATGCAGTATATTAACTAAAAGTTTTATTTAATCAAGTCTTTATATATAATATAGATGTGTATAGAAAATACACCATAAAAATTATACCTTTATATTATCACTAATTTTGCATCTCAAAGATGTATCTATATGGAGGTTGGGCTATAATTTTGTAGCCTACCGTTGTTGGACTTGAAAAACCTCATAATCATTGGCAAAAAAATTGGGCACATCCATAATACTATGCTCATACGACGTTCTACTTGATGAACCAAAAGTTCCAGTCATCCAAAGATCACCATCTCCAAAACAAGGGCCATTTGAAGTAGAATAGTAAATCGCATTATTGGCCATCACAACCTTACTTAGTAAAGCAATTTTCAAATCATCGTTAACATTAAACGAAAACACAAAACTATTTACAGCATTTTCATAATCTCCTATTCGAGTGAGAGATCCCAATAACGTTCGTTTCCATGCACACGGATTATACCCACCTACCACTTTATTACTATCCTTTAATTTTATAATTACCACAGTTCCAACTTTGTCATCACACCGACTATGAAATGTCGACGCATCGAAACCATCACGACTTCCACGAACAAGTAAATTAAAGTTGTAATTGATTTTACAATTTGAACGATCATTATCATGAACAATTCCATCAATCCAACTACTTATAAGTCCAGCATGTATTGCTTTGATAATAGTAGAATCTATAATCGTCAAACGGGAAGGTAAAATTCTAGTAGTAAGTTCGCAGCCAGGTTTCATAAAATATTTAATAATATCTTCATTCAACTGTTTTGGTAAAATCTTTTTATAAGGAACTCTAACCTTATCATATAAATCAATTGAAGAAATTTGAAAAAATCTAATTAATGGTATACAATCATGTAAAGTTTCTTCCAGAGCTGCAAAATCATCCTTAGACCAATTATTTAGATCATGATTATTTTGACTCAGAGAGGTCGTATGTTCTATTCCCCATTTTATGAGATATTCCCAAATATCAATTTCATCCATTCCTAAGTCATCTCGTTTTAGTAAATTAATCATGGTTGATTCAGAGAGCAATAGATAATCATTATTTACGCCAAAAATTAAATGAGGATCTCTACATACTATGCCAAGTACATGTTCACGAAGTATGTCAAAGTCTTCATGTTTTGATGTAATATCAAGAATAAGCATCAGATTTTTGCCGAGCCAATCGTTCAGTGTATTCTTTATATGAGTTTGTACATGTATACATAATTTTCGAAGTTCTAATTCATCGGAGGCAATTAATAGTGCAATAGAATCCGGTCCATCTAAGTGCTCTAAACTCACACTTCCATAATACATAAACCTAGTTAATACATTAATTATATATACAGTACTGTAGTAAGATAAAAAATATTTAATAAATAGATCAATATAGTACCGTAAATGGCCATATAAAAGATCCCCTTTGATAGTAGACCCAGTGTATTAATTATGGGATCTCTGTTAATCCAATGCGGTTTTTTTCTATCTAACGCTATTATCATTATAAAAGCAGTGTAGTGTATATACACACTTTTATCTTTTTTATGACTATGCTCTATACTATTAAAGGGTTAAAAAAACAGATCTGCCTGAGTCTTGTACACGGCCACTTACGGTTAATGATGCATACTTTAAAATGACTTCAAAAATCTTTGGTGCAACGTTCGGCTTTTTAAGAATATAAAAATCTTTTTCCTTCTTGGCCCATTTGTCTGATAACGCAATTCGAAAATAAGTAGATCTTTCGCATAATACCAGTGAATGAGCCTTAAAAGATTTGAAATCTAAATTATTTTCCCCTCCAACATCGATTATAACATTTGCTTCATCTGTATCATCAATTAAATTACCAAAATTCATATCTAACTCTATCGATCCGAGGTTGGATTTGGTATCACGATAATGATAGGAAGTTGCCATGATAAAACTGGATTCGAATTGAATTTAATGATAAAAAGTCCGGATTAGAAAATCATATTTACGGTTTGTACAAGTGGCTGAATAACGTTGGTCGAATGACATCTTATGCTATAAAACATTTTAAGAATATTCCATCGATTTTGAGTAACATTACGTAATTTTGTTAAAAGCCACGAAACCCGCCAATTAGCATAATTACGGGTGATTATTTACCAAAGATTAGAGATGACACTCGACGTGCACTTTCGTTCTATTTTGCCAGTCTCAGTGTTTTACGCTAACAGGATATTCTCCAAAGTACGTGTATAAAAACATAAACATAAAAAATACCATTCTTTGAGAAAATCATATCCATTGGAGACCTACATACAAATGGTAGTTATCTAGTACGTACGTAATGCGGGCAAATTTTCCGGTTTTCTGCAGTTTCTATTGGTCCGGGTGGAAAGTGTGGCAAAACTAGCAGAATACCAAATCTAGTATCCGATTGAATTTCTTACTATGAGTGCTGTCAATAGAAAACCTGTCATCGGGCAATCTATTCCGATGATAGATTGTCCATAGACGGCATACAGAAAGACAACTGAACATTGAAAGCCCGATGACAGGTTTTCTATTGACAGCATTCATATGTAGCATATGAGCTTGCGCTAACAGGTTTGGGTCAACAAAGTCCAAAATTATCATTATAGCCAACTCTAACGCTAACTTTTCGGAATTTTGATCAGCACTCCAGGTAGTGATGCAAACGGCTCTGCAGAGCCGTGAGCTAGCCGAGCTAATCCGTGAGCCGATGTCGTAATAAACTATATCGATATACAGTCGCACCCCCTAAGTGCACACTCTCTAAGTGCACGGTATATGAAAAATTTCTCTAAGTGCACACCCCTCTTGGTCCCAAATAATATAACAATTATAAATTTTAACCTCTCTAAATGCACACTCCTCTAAGTGCCTTTTTTTACTATGGTCCCGAGGGCGTGCACTTAGAGGGGTGCGGTGCGACTGTATAACAATGACGATAATATTAAGATTCGTAAAGACAATAAAATTAATTAATAGTAAATTATAAAAACTATAACGATAATCATAATATCATAAAGACAATAAATAACCTTTCTTTTTTTTTCTTACTCTTGCAATAATCGTACTCTTACAATAATTGTAAAAATGAATCTTGACAACCCTTCTTTTAATTCTCCGGACTCCCAAGACTCTTTACAATATACGTTGATAATAATACAGCTAGTTCAAACACAGTTGTTATCGCCCTTTCTCTAGTCACCAAAAGTAAAAAACATCTGTGGTCACGCCATATTTTACAAAAAAAATGAAATAATTTTTCCTTATAATGATAACGGTAATCAAATTGGAGTCGCGACTCGGCTAAAAAACGGCACGTCTAAAAAACGACACGTCTAAAAAGCGGCACGGCTAAAAAGTGACACGGCTAAAAAGCAGCACGGCTAAAAAGCGGCACGGCTAAAAAGCGCCGTTTACATCACTAACTCCTGGTCAGGGCCCCTAGAAAATTTCGATATCATTTTGGAAAAAGTGGTTTGGTAACGACCAAATATTGTTTTTTATTGCGATATCTGATCAAAACATAACTATTGCATATCGTATTGATCGATAATTTATTAGAGGTGAAAAAATTCTAAAAAGTAATTCTCAGAGTTGCTATTTAATTTATACTATATATATATTTATATCATGGCTAAGAAGACTTACTTCTGATAAATTAATACGCAAAATATAAAATAAGATAAGATCTTTATTATTAAGGTTTAAACCTAATACTTATGCTTAACTTTTTGAATATCTTAACTATATATATATTATTTTACGTATAACTTTTCGAATTTTTACTTAATATTCATTCTTTCAAAATCATAATGCACTTTTTTCTGCACGTGAAGTTACACACAAATACAAATAGTTAACCAATTAAATTTGCGGATTTTTATCGTGTAACCTCACATGCATGAAAAATTGTTTTATGTGATATCCAGTAAAATTCTAATCTTTTCTAAATTTTCTAGGGGCCCTGCTCCTGGTTCATTAATCATTATTGTTATACAATTTAACAATTTAATTTTTATACGTTCTATTCTAAACCAGAGGTGCAGACATTTAGAATTTTGGAGGTAGCTACTAGAGGTGCAGACATTTAGAACTTTTGAGGTAGCTACTAGAGATGCAGACATTTAGAATTTTGGAGGTAGCTACCCCAGCAAAAATATCACGGCGATACCATATTTGTCATATAAGTAGAGGTGTTGCATGCCGTATAAACGCCGTATGCCGTATAAGTGTTCTATGCTGTATACCGTATGCCGTCATTCACCTTAATTTAGTGGGTGAATATAAAGATGATCTATTAATCAATGGATTAAAAAAGTGATTCATGTTTACAAACACTTATTTACTACTAACTAATACACTTCAGATTAATATTCTATTCGATCAGCATTACAATAAGTTTTTAATAATATAAAATTTGACGATGATTAAAATGGTAACCTAAATACGGTAAAATTATACATTGTAATAAAGACAACATGTTTAAAGCATGGTGTTTGGCATGCGATGTCGACAAGCAAAAATAAGAATATTAGTGATTGCATCAGAGAATTTCAGCAATCGGGTCCTTCAAAAATAACATATATGCTCTTGACATTAGCGCTCATGGGCATCCTGAATTAACGCGCATCGTAATGTAGCACATAATTTATTGTGCGATAAATGATATACAGTCGCACTTCATATGTGCACGCTCTATAAGTGCATTTCACATGCACTTTCCCTATCTTGATAAGTGCTCATAATTTGATCGATCTAATCCATTAAGCATTTATCCGGATAGCTATCAGATATCTGGATCTGAATTTATTCGATATCCATCTACTATCCATTTACTATTGATATCCGGATAATTAGATACGGATAAACGGATGACGGGTTTATCCGGATTGGAACTCTAAATTATTTAATAATTATCTTTAAATGTAAATTATGCACCATAAATGAATATTCTATAAATGCACCTTACCCAAAAACATGCTCCGAAATGGAACTTTGATTGGGATATAAAAAATTAATCGCATAACAATTTAAAAAAATTATACGCCGACTTAGATATACACATAAGAAAGTATTTTATATATATCTATATTAATTTTTAATTTATAAATTTATATCTATGCATTTATATTTCTTGTTAAGATTTATTGGTTGACAAGAATAATCTTTTTCATAAGTTTCCGTACAAATTAAACACACCAAACATGTCGGGCAAGTATTCAACCGAAAGTTTAATAACGTTGAATGTGTCGATAATTATAATGATTATGAACATTACGGCAAAGGGTGTCACATCATACAGAATGGCACGTATCGGATGGCACGCATAAACTAATTTTTTTTTTTAAAAAAAAGGTAAGAAATAAAAATGCAATATCTCAAAATCTTGCTAATGAAATTGCTCTGGGTGACTTAACAAAAAAATATTCCTTGCAAAATTTTACTACATATCTGATATATGGCTATTTTTATTTGCCTAAATCTTTATTCATACTCTAACTTTCATCGAGTTCCCTCCAAATAAAATGTCTATTGGTAAGAGGTCCGTGAATTTACGGGCATACAGATCAAATGTGGGCCACTGATTCCGTGCCAATCCAGACAACGCATGTGCAAACCCAGACCACCACTCAAACCCGTGCATTTACGCTGGCTTCCCATGCCGATTCGGACCACTTTTAGGGGACAAATTTGCAATTGTAGACAACAAATACTGTATATGTTGGTCATACAATGAAAAAAAAATTCCGTATACCAAATACAGTCTACCCTCGTTAATATCAACCGAATTTTCGTTTTACCGAACTTAGTTTATGAATACAGAAATATAAAGTTGATCTATAGTATAGGTGGCAATATAAATTATTATAAGATTATCTCTTAAACTGTATTCCAGGCAAATTTGCCTGGAATTTTAAAAAGTATTTACAATTTTTTAAATAAAATTAA